GTAGGTAGGCCAAGGAAGGCAGGTACCCTGCAAGGCCATGACTCCTGTGAACTCTCAACTGTAGTTCCTCCCACAATCCCAGGACATTAAGAGACCCAGTGCCTGCCCCTTTCACAACTGTGAGCTATTCTCATTGACCCGTTCCTATCCTGTGGAGCATAGTTTAGCTTCTTTCACTTTTAATAAATCCTACTCTTATTATTCCTGAGTGTCCTACTCAATTTTTTCTTCTAGATATCAATAATCTGGAAACAACTCCTCTAGGACCCTCCATCCTACAACAGGACTGTGGGTCCACTATGCAGTCTAGACCTACTGTAGCCTCTGTGTGTTGACATACAGTCTTGTTTTGTTTTGAGCCTACCAAAACACTGCTCATTTCAATTTCATTAAAAATCCAACCTCTCTGAACGAACCTCCTATTGCAATGGCCTCATAAATCTGATTTGTCAGACTATACTGATGTTCCTAGTAATCTGAGGCCAACTGGGCAAAGGGAAGAGAAAAACCATTAAGGTTAAAATTCAGTTATACCTTAAAAGCCATAGACTAGAGGAAAATATCTATTACTAAGAAGAATCAGGCAACTATAATCTGTAAGTATCATTGGCTTGGGATGTGGGGTCACAGCCAAGGGCAAGTATAATCCAAGTTGTCTCAGATGGTAGAATCGGATCAGAGCACATGGGGTTACCAGGAGGCTGTTAGGGCACACATGAGGAAAAACACTTACTAGACAGCTCCCTGAACAGAGAAGGGACTGGAGGCCCAAGAGACGGTCCCTGTTACTGGCCAAGGTTAATCTGAACTTGTTTTTGTATTTCCAAGCTGGATGGGAAGTTCCACTGTGTCCTGATACATGGTTCCATTAACTGTAAATGCTCCAATGTGAATTTAGAGCACTCTCTTCCTTCAGTACTTTCTATGCCATGCTCAAGGGTGGGCCCACACAAGTTCTCTTTAAACCACACATGCCATTTCAGCTGTTAATGGTTAGAATACTTTCCCCGCTCACCTTGGGTGGGTCTTTGGAGAAAGCCACCTCTTTGGAGGTGGGTCTTCAGCTTTCTAAACTGGGTGCCAATACTCTACGGAGAAGATAGACATCTCAAAAAAAGGCTTAGACAAAGTGGATGTTAAAATGGGGATCCTGCCTGCACCTCCCCAGAACTCAATCAGCACATGGGCAAATACGTGTATGTGTGTGTGTCCGTGTCCGTGAGTTGTGTCAGACTTGAGGAAGCCCTCAACACACACACGCACACACACACACACACACACGGCTGAATTCTCGTGGTCACTCTAACCAGAGGCCACCTTGCTTTTTCTGAAGCATTCACAAATATTACAATTCACTCGTGTCATAGGTAAAGTGAAAGACGTGTAAAGTCCTGGTCTAAGAGCTTTGCAGGTGACAAGCTCTTTCATGAATGGCTCATAGGAATAAATCAACACAGGCATACATGGGAAGCCAGGAGGGCCACATCAGAAGCAGGGCAGCTGATCCCAAGACCCCTCGCAGTGGCTGAGGGGTCAAGGCTGAGAAGGCCGTGTAGAATCTTTCCAATTAAGTGGTAGCGCCAGCACAGGAGGACACATTCAACAGTGCTTGGGAGGTCACACGGACTAAACACTCTGTGCAGCACTGTGCCCACCGGCCCAGCGCAGGTGAGGACAAGCCCTTCCCCACTGCTGGCCCAGTCTTTCGTCCTCACTGCCTGCACCACCCCCACGCCGACTCTCCTCCGCGCAAAGGTTGCTGAAGCCTCGGCTGCGCCTGGGGGCCCAGGTCAGGGCTGCGGAGTCCAGAAGAGCACACGGAAGGCAGACTTCCGTCAGCGTCCTCCCGGTGATGTGGCGGCGCGGTTGGGGTACTCCGAGAAGCTCACGGGAGAGATCTCCGCCTGGGACCTGAGGCCAGAAGCGCCGGCACCACGAGCCAGTGACGAGCGAGGAGGCCCGGGGCCTGACGGAGCGCTCCGAGTCCCTCCGGATCCGGTCGGCGCAGGGCGCCGGGGCAGAGGACGCGGAGCGCGCCAGGGGCGGGCGCCGGCGGGACCGTCACACGCGGCTGTCACGCGGGACGGG